ATAACAAAATTGAAGAGATAAGGATAAATCTAAGCTAACAGAAAATTATGGATAAATATTAATTAATTTTTATTTATTTTAATTTTTATTATATGTTAATCAATTTGTAGTTCCAGAATTGCTCTTGCATCTTCGTAAAATAGGAATGTTATTATTTATAACCTTCTTTATATGTGTATATGTATATATGTACATATATATAAAAAAAGTCTCACGTATTAGAGTTTTTAAATGATCTAACCCTCGAGATATATAGTTATATATAAGCATAGCATACATGCATGCGTGCATACATATATGCATGCGCATTTACACACATGCATGTATATATAAGCATACATGCATATATAGAAAAAGTAAGAACACCAATTTTGACCGATGGTTTGTAATACAAGTTTATGCTTTGATATCGCATCTTTAATTTTTAATTTGAAATTAGATCAACAAAATATTATTTCATTTATGTGAAGTAGATAAATAAAATAATAACATTGATCGTATATATACTTTCTTTATAATAGTCACTTATATTGCTTACGTTCTAACTTTAATAAAATTATTTAATTTAAGACAACCATAACAATAATTTTTTGTAATAGGACTCCTAAATTATTTAAAGATTTTAATTATATACTTTAGATGACTTAAATTTGTAGTACCAAATAATAAAATGTTTTATCTAAAAACGTTATAATAAGTTTATATGACGTTTTTTAGTGTTTTAACAAGTTTTAAGACTCTTTTAACATAAACTATCGTATTAGCTTTTTATATAATAATTTTGAGAAATATTCTACAAACCCGTCTTTTATAGGCGTGAAGTAACAACCCAAATTCCAAAAATTACCTCCATTACTATATATTTATCCAAAATAAACTTTCATGGTCCCAAAAACTTCAACTCCAACAAAATTAACTAAATTATTGCAACGAAGAGCAATAAAACTAATCCCACCCAATAACTAATACATAGAATTATAGTTATAAAGTGTTGCAAACTAGCGAGCAACCGGTAACCATGCAACCATTCGAGCTTGATCTTCACATCTTTTACCCCTGCTCTTGCTAAAACTCTCTACAGATAACAACCTGGAAACATTTTGTTTTAAATACAAATGTTAGACCGAATGTTAAAGTGAATTCCTTGTAACCAACAGTAATATTGGAAAATGTAAATTATAATATTAATTTTCTTATATATATATATATATATATATATATATAAAGAGAGAGAGAGAGAGATGAACGATCAAATGCAAATAACCCAATTTGTACAAACCATGCAAACCACACTTATCCGTCGATTTTAATGTTTAATCTTATAAATTTTTTTTCAAAAAATTGTTTAATCTTGTGAAAAAAAAAAAAAAATATATATATATATATATATATATATATATACTAGTTGTGTACCCGCGCAATGCAGCGGGATGATTTTTTTTTAAAGATGTAAGTGGACATATTGATGATTGATTTGACAGGAACTGAAACAATCCAATAATGTATTTGATGTTGAAATTTGACAACAAATTGATTTTAGTTTGGTTATGCATAAGATGTCGTAGCATCGATAGAAAGTAGGAAATTACCTACATTAAGAGTGATCAAGATTGTACAAGTCMAGCAACCTCCGTTTATTATATAGCATAGCATACCAATAACTCTTATTTCTCATAGTAATACTTTTATGAAATTTAGTTTATAAGGTTGTATAGATATAGGTAAACCATAGATAAACAAAAGGGACATAAAAATAACATGAAGATACACTCAAATATTTAGAACATAATACGACCAATGGGGTCGTAAAATTCATAATCTAGTTTTCTATGTTCATTTTTCCCTAAACGATCTAAAAGAAGAATATAGTAAAAGAATTACATAAAGATCTGATTTAATGCAACCATAAATAGGAACCATTCTCCAAAATTCCTTCATCCCAACCAAGCTTCTGTTAGATATGTTCTGATGCAACCATAAAGCATACACTTTCTTTGTTAGCCAGAAGACTAAAACATGATAAAGCCTAAAATTCAGCTCAGTAAACAACAGATGAAGCACAACAACTTCAAACCAGATCTAAAATCATCGCCTACACAATGACTTTAAACATCTTTGAATCAATTACTTCAAATCTATACACAAATCAAAAGTACATGAATAAACAACTGAATCCAATTGGGTTAAAAAAACCATTCAAAATCAAAAAATTAAAAGCATTTTGTAAGCTATCTTTCAGAATATGAATGAAGTATTGTGTATATAAAAATAATTAAGAGGTCGTTTACTAAACGCTTACCTAGGAAGTACTTACTGGGTAACTTTCCTTACCGGATGAACATGGCAAGGGTCAAAAATCTGACTCGGTAACAGCAGTGATGAAGATGGAGAGTCTTACCTAGTAAATCTTCGCATGGATAGGAATTTTAGTTCCCTCCTTTCTTCTTCACCTTATTCTCCTCCTTTCCATTTTGATTATTCTGCAGAGCCTTTTTCCGGTATGCTAACTTGTCTTAAATCATTTGCATTACTAAGGGGTCATTTACTAAACACTTACCCGAGTAAACGCTTTTCAAGTCATATTACCTTACCGGATGAATATGGTAAGGACCAAAAATATTACCCGGTAAGTGAGGATGATGACTCTTATCCCGGTAAGCGCTTACCGGGTAAATTGTTGCATACAATGTCGTTTTGACGGACTAAAAACTTACCCGGTAGGTAAATAATAGTGTTAAATTTTATCGGTAAACACTTACCGAGTAAGTGTTTAGTAAACGGCCCCTAACAGAGTTTTCAAGTAATAAATTMTTCCATAGTTTCAGACCTTGACAGCTTCTGTGCAAAATATCATTGTGCAGACTATATGGATGTTTGCTTTTTGTGTGAACGCATGGTATGGTATATTACATAAGGACTTTGTGATATAGGATATGCATTATCACATACCATTTGTTTGAACTTATCTAGGGATTCATACATTATAATCAATCCCAAAATATTAAAGGATTGATGGTGATCATTCTCTAGAAACAGCTCTAGACTTCTTAACGCATCGAAAAGCACACATTCTCTGTAAAGATATGAAATCAAAAGAATAATTTATGGTTTAACAGGGAGTAAGACAATAGAAAATCAATCAACAATAAAACATCAACCAGCATCATGCTTTGAACAAAAATCACAATAACCCAAAAAACTCAATTATGTTAAATAATCTCAAAARCATAATGAAAAAGCAAAACAATGCACACACTTGAGCCAAGAATATCAAACAAAGGAAACCAAACAAGCAAACAGAGAGACCCAAATTATCACAAGAAAATCAAGTCACTCTTGCTAACTCTTTTTTTGGAGGGTACACCACCACTCGCAGGAGTGATGCAACCAGCTTGGTCGTAAATGCAACTAAGGGTCCGTTTACCCAAACGCTTATCCGGTAATTACTTACTGGTAAGAATCAATACTCTAATTTATTTAACCGAGTAAGACTGTAGTCCATCAAAACAATATTATATGGGATGATTTACCTGGTAAGAACTTATCAGGTAAGAGTCGTGAGCCTCACTTAGCGGGTAAGACTCTCATCCTTATCACCGCTCTTATAAGGTAAGATTCTTGACCCTTGCCATATTCATCCTGTAAGATAAATGACTACGTAAGCACTTACCGGTAAACATTTAGTAAACAACCCCTAAGTTCAAGATTGRTCAAGCAAAAACTACATAATATGCAGGTCAAAAAATAATGAAATACTCCAATTTTYAGTCAACCAAATAACTTTGAACGTGCTTATCACAAGCACCCCRCCCCATACATTAAAAGCTTTGAAAATGAAACAAAGAAATTAACTACTCTTGGATTTGAGAAATATCAAATTTTAACTACTTCCATTACTTTACATTTGTTTACTGTAGTCAAGCGAACTCAACCATAAGAAAAACATATTCTATTTAAATATTGATTGCTTATCTACATAGAAAAATACAACAMAACTACAAAACTAATGAAGAAAAAAGTGATGAAATGACTTGTGAATAAACATAGAACCAACCTACTATTCATTCAACATCAAGAAGCTAAATGAATAACAAAAACCTCCATGGCATAGTGACAACTAACCTTTTGACTTATGTTCAATGGTAATAATTAATTAAACCACAAGCAGATGTATTGCAATAGAAAACTTAGGAAAAATATTATTGCATCCATGAAGCTAGGATGCCCATTCTTCTTCTTTTTCTTTTGTGTGCATGCTCATCTTGCTAGTGCTATTATTATGTTTTCTGCAGCGCGGGTGAATCACAATTCTGAAACATTAGTTTAGGCTTGAATCGTGAGTTTGTGTGGTTATTTTGCAAGTCAACTAATATACAAAGTTGAAGGTTAATATGRTGTATTAGCAAGATTGAATGGAAAAATAATTGCACACGTGCTGGGTTTCTAAACCCATATACTCAGAACTCATTACAAAACTTGAAATTCTTGACTGAACAAAATACAATCATTTGTAAATAATGTTCATCCGTATATCCAAATAGTTGTTTAGTTTTTGTGATGCACTCATCCGTAAATATTTCCTGTAAAAAACGACAATGCGGTAGGAGGTAAAGGATTAACACTGCCTAAAAGTCACAGAAATCAAATAATCTTTTCTCTACATCATGATTCTCAAGAAGAACCTATGATCAATGTTGAAACTAAAGGATTAACACTGCCTAAAAGCAAATGAAATACGAACCATAAATTCTTTGTAGTTGATTGAAGTCTTGAGCTTGCTTCTTGTAAATCCGTTTCTAGAATAAAAATGCAAAAAAAAAAAACCTTTCAGTCTCTCAGTGTCAAATAAGAATAAAGAACAATGAGAGGAATAAAGTACAAAACAAGCCATAACTACTTCTTTGCCAACATAACAAATCATTAGTAACATTTTTACTRGCAGCCTCAAACTCATAAAACAAAATAAGTACACAGGATGTGCAAGAGAATTGAAGAAGCACCTTTCGCAGCATCTTTTTTGCAAAAGGACCTTTCAGTTCCATGCGAAGSTGAAGTATATCGTTGTTTGTAGCACCAGGGAATAAAACCTTCCCATTATAAAGCTCAAACAAACAGCAACCAATGGACCACATATCAACAGGATGATCTATGTTGTTATAAGTCAAACCTAGAACTGCATAAACAGAATGTTTGACAAGTCAATGACTTGCTCCACATATGCTGGTGTAGCAGTTACCAACATATTAATTTTAATGAGTAAAAAAAGAGGATATTCCAGCCAAGGGAGCATACCCTTTGAATACAATACTTACTTATTTCAGGGGCACGATAAAAGCGGCTCACAAGGTACGGTGTGATCTCATTTTTCTCGGCAAACATAGCATTTCCAAAGTCACAAAGCTTCAGAACATTTTTCGCATCGTTTACCTTAAGATCATATGAATTGGAGTGTCTACGTTTATCAGGGAGACATTAATAAAACAAAAACATGACAAAATAAAGAATCACGTTAAAAGTGCGAACCAACATGTTATCTGGCTTAATGTCGGTATGAAGGACGCCATAGTTTCTAAGATGTTTTAGAGCAGTGAAGAGCTGTTTTGCATAGGCCCTTACAACAGTTAGTTTAAGATCAACTTCCTAAAACACCATACAAACCATAAGACTATAGAAATTCATAAAATGTAAACTACACTAAATAACAGATCAATCGTCACATTAGTGCCTCATTGACCTGGTTAGTCTCAAACTGTAAAGTACACAAATATCATTTAGTTGAAATATAAAGCATGTTCTTTACAATAATGAAACGCAAGAGCACCTATAGGTAAGAAGAATTGGTCTTGCAATTCTTGAGTATTACTCACCCAGGGAGGTAGATCTCAAGAGAAGAGTCCCATGGGACACAAGCATAGATTATCGTTCAAGTTTTTACAAAAAWTGATAAATAAATTGTCCTTATTTTTACTATTAAGGGTGAAATTGTCCTTTAATTAATTAAAAAGTGTAATAATTACACATTCCTACAACTGTGTCTTTTTCATTGTCCACAACCAACATGACAGAATATAGAGACTCATACATTTCATATATCTAAACCTTAACAARAGTGCTTCTATAAAGCTTACAAGCGACCTAGTTTTAGATAATCCAGCAATTATCATCATCATATCAATCACCAAACTGTCCTAAATTCTCATCACATTGTCTGGTGTACATTTTGACTCAAGTGTTGAAAATGATAAGCCTTAAAACATGAGCTCAGGTGTGTTAACTTGTGCCCAGGTGTTAAATTGCATAGAACTATTTAAAAATGTATCTTCTCCAATCAATTCATAGTTACAATCCTCCAAATGAGCTAGAATAGATGCAGCCTATTTGCTTTGTGTCTAAGAACATATTGACAACATATGAGAAAGTTTTCAAAGTCCATAAAGCTTGATTGATAAAAGAAGAAACCAAGGGAAAAACTGAGATTCCCATAGAAAAAAGTTTACCAAATATTTGAGCAAGGAACAAAAGGCATATATAATACAAACTTGGATCACAAATCTACAACCAAGAACAACATTCAATTTTGCAAGTGTAAAACATCTAGATAACTCAAGTGTGACATAATTTACTGGGACGATCGAAATTAACAATTTTAACAAAAAAAAAGTAAAATATTGTACACCCAAACATAAAAACAACTATTTTACCTGCACTGAAGAACTGTAGCAGCCTATAGGCTTCTCAGATTCCAAACTGTAGAAACAAAATGTAATAAGATAATCAATTATGTKTAATARCARCAYTGAGAAACATTAGAAAGAAAACCAAACAACATGAATAAGATCAATATCAGTCTACCAAAAAGGTCAAAGTACCCTAAATCAACTGAATTTCCCTTGGATTCAGCAAGCCCGGGTGTCGATTCCACTTCCTGCATCAAGTTGCAAAATAAGCATATGATCCTACGTTAGTTCCAAGAAATTCAAAATTATCAACTATATTATATAAACTCACAAAAACGATTGAGTCTTCAATCATCTACTATAATAGGAGAATAGGGAAACCTGATGGAATTGGCCAGTGAGGAAAGGTCTGTCGATCTTCCATCGAATTGGGTTGGAATCGATTTCATCAAAATCTCTGTTTATGGGTTTGAAAATCGATTTTGTTTATGGGATATGGATGGCGATAAAAATGTGATTGGGTTTAGGGATATGCAGATTAGGGTTGGCGGTAAAAATGGGATTGGGTTTAGGGATACGCAGATTAGGGATGGCGGGGGTTTAGGGATAGTACGCTTTAGTAGGTTGTACCGAAAGCAATAGAAGTTGTCTTTAAGAGTTTTAGCCAAATGCTTTATAATATAGTATAGATAGATAGTATAGATATAGATAAACAACAATGAGCTGTTTTCTGTTACGTCCAGTCTGATGCCAAAACGCACCGTGTGAAACGAACCTCCTCCATCCCCACCGTTGTGTACCGTTATGATTTCTGAACTTGCAGGTTATAGTCGATGGAAAATTGAAACACAGATAACAATAACAGTAACAAAAGAAATCTAATGGAAGTTTCATATACAACCAGCAATTTGAAGAACCATAAATCAAAAGTAGGAATAACACAATATGGTGGATTCAATTCGAACAGGCTTTAAACCAGAGTTTGTGCATTCTGTTCTTCAAATTAAGCGCCTCAAGTAAATAATCCCTAATTCCTATGATTGAACTAATTTCGTATTCAATCATATCATGATCTCAGAATCAACGGTGGTTATAAGTGAAATTTTGACCTAAATTTGGAGAGATAAACACATACCTACTCGATCTCTGACGATCATGATCTCGAGAAGCATTCTTCTTCTAGACGCCATTGTTAGTACAGAGTCTAGATCCACCTGGACACCGAGAGATCGAATTACATGATATTTAGGGATTAAATCGAATCTGTATTATTCAAACTCTGTTGGCGATGATGATACCGTTTAGGGTTTATTTCATCGAATTGGGTTAGGGGTCGTTTAGATGAACGATTTGGGTTGGGGCGATAAAAATGGGATTGGGTTTAGGGATAGGCAGATTAGGGGTGGCGGGAGTTTTATGCTTTAGTAGGCTGTACTTAAAGCAATAGAAGTTGTCTTTAAGAGTTTTTAAGAGTTTTAGTCAAATGCTTTATAATATAGTATAGATATAAATATAAAAGGTGAACATAAACTCACAAAAACTATCACAAACAAAGTGATCAACCTGACAAGATCGCTATATATGTCACGTTTGTGATCTCCAGATCGTAATCTATGTCTGCCCAATGGCACTACAAAACAAAGTAGTATCATCGACGGAAGAAACCGTCGGAAATCCGTCGCTAAATGTGGGTTTCGTCGGTAATCCGTTTGTAAAGGGCGTTGAAAAGTGCACCGTCAGAAAAGGTAGCACCGACGAATATTATTGACGGATTACGGACAAAACCAATATCCGACTGATTTGCCGATGGAACTAATCACTGACAAGTTACCGATAGCTCTCATTTTCGACGGATTATCGACACCTCTAGCTTCCGACGGATTACCGACGGCTTAAATTACCGACAAATTTTCCACAGACATTAAGAACATAAATAAATACATTTTCCGATGGATTTTCCATCGTAATCCGTCGAAAATTGTATTTATTTATTCATTTAATATTCGTCGAAAATTTGTCGATAATTTAAGCCGTTTTCCATCGGTAATTCGTTGGAAATGTATTTTTTTCCCTAAAAAAAATAATTTAGAAAACCTAATTACCTGTATAATAAACTTGTCTAGATTTTCAAATACATTGCAAAATTAAAACGAAATTGTTTTACAATAAAATCGTAAATTATATTACAAAAATATAATATCCCAAAGGAGAACACTTCTAACAGTATATATTAAGACTGGAAAGAAGGGGGAGGGGGAGAGTTTAAAGCATGTTACCGTGCCATGAATGCTTCGAACTGCTTCGTCAACTCCTTTTGCCGAAGTAACTTCTCTACTTGCTCGTTCTATGCGTGCTCCAATTCTTCCCTCTTTCCCTGTTCTTCATCCATTTGCTGCTCGTAGGCCGCCAGCTTATCTTTCAGCACATCTACCTGAAATTATTCAAATTATTCAACAATTGACAAACATAGAACAAGGTTAGGTGATAACGATTAAAAACAATATACATACGTTTTCGATGGATTACCAACGGATATCATTTCCATCGGTAATCTGCGACGGTTTTCCGACGGAATAATTATAAAAAATTAATTATCCATCGGTGAATTGCAATGGATAAAAATATTTTTTCATATTTAATTTTTAAATTACTATCCGTCGCAAATCACCGACGGAATTCTGGTCCATCGGTAGTTTATTTATTTAATACAATCCATCACAAATCTTTTGGATTCCGTCAATAATACTCAATTTTCTAGTAGTGTGGGACAACTAAAAATGAATTCTTATAGCATAACAAAAATGAGACCTCGCATGCGAACCATTGTAATCCCACATGCATCCACTCCTCCTTTGTAACAGTTACTCAACTCACAGGCACCCCATATGACACTACAATTTCACACAACATACAGTATATACAAATAAAGCATGCTAGCATAAATATCTATATACATTTTGTAAACCACGTACAATTAAATCAATTTCTTGCAACTTTAGTGATATATTACAAGAAAACTCACCCGAGGAACAGAGTACTAAAAATCCTCCTTGCAAGGCTAATCGACCTCGCTACCAACGGTCAACACGTTGATAATCAATTAATTATCCTTAAAGTTACTCCAAAGATACCTTAAACAAGGAGATGTACCATTTTAACCCTCTCTCTTTCTCAGCCTATGAATCAGACCACCATATGGTTTACATTTCAAACCCATAATTAAATATTAATTATTAATAATTAAATTCAACATATTATAAGTTTCAAACTCACCTGAAATGGCAACCAGTAAACAAAGACGGGTACCACTTTAATTCAATCATCAAAGATAGAGGCCTAGTTTTGCTAACTCTGTAACCTCTATACTAAAACACGCGGACCCTCTCAGCCTGATCCAAACCCCATTGACTCGGATATAAAACCTTAAGCTCTTACCTGATTTCAATATTTTGCATGGGCCACTGTTTCTTTTACAAACCGACTCAACCCCAACCCTCTCTTTTTCTCTCATCGACGCTTGAAGGATGGCCTAGTCCAACACCTACGATCTCCGGCCATCGAACACAGCACTCCGGCTGCCGTCTGTTGAAAATTATTCCAATAAGAAAATGAACACCAAAAAAAATTAATCTTTATAAAATTTATTTATATTATAGCGAAAAAGGTTAAACCTTTTTTAATACAGACCCACCAAAAACCTCAATACGTGCCAATTCACACAGATTGAATCTATCATTCGCGATAGATTCAATGAAAGAAAGGGGTAGAAGCAGAGTGTACTTCATTTAGTGAACGGAAAATTTAAATACAATGAGAAAAATTATAAAACCAACCTGTTTAAAATGTTGTCGATTCAGATGATGAACTGCACAGAAAACCTGTCCTTAAAGGTTTTATACGACCACTCTTAAGAAGCTGTGAGTCTGGTAGTCGCAAAGCCCCAGGATTTGATGCAGTAGGAAATTCGTTTGTGAACAGCAATCAAAACGAATATAGTGCGCCTCCTCGTGCCACCTTCGCGAATCCCGAGGCCTCTGCCACCATGAGTCCACTAACATGTTCAAAGCCCACATCTAGAGACAGCCTTATAAGTTTTTCTAGAAATCAACTCTCTACCAATGTGGGATGGAAGGTTAACTTCCAACCTACAAATATCCAACACCGTCTTCTGCCGCACACTACCTCGTGCCACCATTCACAAAGGAGCTCAGATCCACTTCTATCGATATCCTAAATCCTCGCTCTCAACTCTGTCTCCAACCTCGTTCAAAGAACACAAGTTCAAGATGTAGCTTTGAATCTAAATCGGTTGCCATAAACCTTACAGTTTTTTTATTTTTTCCTTCATAAAAGAAAGGATTGATTTCTAAAAGATCGTTTGCCACAGTTTTAATCAGAGATAATTACCCGAATAGATTTCCGTTTTCTATTTATGGAATCCATTTCTCAATTGATTACAGTAGATTTTTATATCTTAATAATAGATTTTATGCTGTCATTTAGATAGCATATTAGTTGGCTAAAACATCCTTGATTATTACCTTTTGCTATAGCATTACGACTTGGTGTTTGGTGACCTTCGGGTTACCATTTTGATCGATAAACATCTCTATTATCAAACCAGAATCATGAATCAATGGAAAATTATATGGAAGATTTCGTTAATTAGTGTTGATTTTTTATCATGAATCAATGGAAAATTATATGGAAGGTTCTTATCGTTTAGTGTGGATTTCTTCTTGATAGCTTCACATCGCATCTCTCCAATTCTTATCATCATTAGTTGCTTGGTGAAGCTTTAGATGAATACGGAGGGATCAAGTTTTTATTCCACATCCCACTTATAATAGTTTTCCTCCATAAGTTTCTCAATTTTGCATTAAGCTTGAATATCACGAAGTTGGTAGTAGTTTTTATACACCTTTTCTATTTGTGGAATGCAATCTTCTTGTGATTTGAAGGGGAGAATGAGTGGGATTATCGAAGAAGTCACATGCAAGGGTGAACATTTATACAAACTTAAATCTTACTCGGTATTCTCCTTAGAGGGTGACCCATAACACAACATTAGCCTAAATAGCCACAAAAACATGCAAAGACATGCAAATAAAGACTCAAAAGCTAACAACAAATAACAAACCACAAAAACACTAACATATGCATACATGTATTAAATACATACAAACTAAATACAAAGCAAATGAGTTGACATTAGTTGCATGCAAATATTCTTTCATGCAAACACAAGTACAAGACTACAAAACAAAAATATAAACTCTTTAAAAACCTCAAAATTCGGATTTGATTTTAATTTTTTTTGGTTTCTCTCTAAATCAGTAACAATACTTATGCGATCTATTTCTTCGGCAGATTCAAGAAACGATAACATAGGCTCACTCCAGCTTTAACTCGGTCCATGTAACACCCCCAAACACCACATTTGTATATAACACATATTTCATTTCATAGAAATATAGTTTACATCATAAGGTCCCACTAGTACAAGGATTACTATATGTACAAAATCTACATATAAAAATTTCCAAAAACAAATCCTATACTATTACATGTAATGTAACATGTATCTTTAAAAACAGACAACAGATTAGAAAAATAATCACATTTTCCCTTTCTCTTTAATATTCCCGGACCCCGCTATTCCTGCATTGCATAATTTAAAATAGAAAATGAGGGTTAGACCAGATGGGTCTAGTGAGTAAATCCCTTCTTCGCAAATGCAGGGTGATGAACACCAAAATAATGTAATTCTGCTTAGAAATATTCTGCAGTACCAATAAATGATACAGTTCACAACATTATGCAAAATAGAGTACACCCAAGAACCTCAGTTCTATAAAATATCTCTGATTAGAGATCCAACGTTCCCAATATGAAACAAATATTGTAACCAAAATTTCTTGAATTAATAGACCATTCCTTTAAAAATATTAACATAAAAGATTTAAGACAATACATCCCTGATATGACAAACCATTTTCCCCTTCTCAATAATATCTAAATTATTATTAAATACAAATAATATCTTTAATTCATCAGGTCACAAAGAAATGATGACTCAAAGTTATTAGATCCAATTAGTAATAATAATAGTTATAATATTATCCACATATGACAATGCCACCCTTATTCCAAGTACATCTCTCCTTGATATGTCACCCTTATTCTTCCA